CAATTTGATACGTTATATATAAATATATTTTAGGAAACCCCACCAACCAAACATTAGGTAGATGAGAAAAATATTCTTGGAGTTTTTATGTCGATTCTATTTGAATTTGAAGTATAGTCTCTTTCGTTGATTTTTACTCATATCACATTATTGACTACTAGGTCATACTCATCAGCCAACTTTCAACATACTTAATATCACCAAAAGTTTTCAAATGATAATGTCACTCAAGTTCATCTAAATATCATCAAAATAGCAATCAAGTTGTAAATTCTACTTTATCTAAATCAATATTTTTAATGGCTATATTAATTTGTGATTTAATGTTTTATAGGTGACTATGATATTAAACGAGGTGTTAAGGTTGTATACATCAGCATACGCGATTAATCGAATGGTAAATACAGAAACAAAGTTAGGGGATTTGTGTTTACCCCCTGGGGTGCAACTCATATTGGCAACAATGTTAGTGCATCATGATACTGAAATATGGGGAGATGATGCAATGGAGTTTATGCCAGAGAGATTTAGTGAAGGAATATCAAAAGCAACAAAAGGACAAGTTGTATTTTTTCCATTTAGTTGGGGTCCAAGAATATGTATTGGGCAAAATTTTGCTATGTTAGAGGCAAAAATGGCAATGGTCATGATTCTAAAACACTATGCATTTGAACTCTCTCCATCTTATGCTCATGCTCCTCATCCATTATTGCTTCAACCTCAATATGGTGCTCAATTGATCATGCACAAGTTGTAGAAGTGATTATCATGTGTTGTCTTTTGAGTCATGATATGTCCTACATGTATTGTTCTTTAATATAGTTCAAGTAAGTAGGAGTATAATAAGGATTGACATATATAATAGTAGTTATGTATAAGTGAAGTTATATATTGTTTTGTGTAAGAGTGGAGTACTTTATTATAATAATATTAGTATACTTTATGTTTATGATTTTCCTCTTTCATTCTTCATTCAATAACCTAGTCGGTCAGTTTTGGAAAGTTTTGTGAATTTACTCTTTTGGCCCTTCTGATATCGACCCTGAATTGTTTTTGGTTGAGTTTTGAAAGTTGATTTTGAGTTTTAAAATATAAGTTGTTAAAAAAAATGATTTTCGGTGTCTTTTGGAGTTTCAAGTATCGCAATGGAATTTCATCAGTTTTGAAATGTGAATGCTAATCTACGAAAGTTGTTGGTTTCATAGTTGTAGTCTTTTTTATGATTTGAGGTCTTAAGTTGTGATTTTTTTGAAATTTGACCTTTGGATTGACTTTGGTCAATATTCGGGGTTCTGGTGCTTGGATCAGAATTTCAAGAGTTCTCTTGGGTTCGGGTGATGATTTTAGGTCTAGTTGAGGTCTTGGTTGATTTTCTTGAGTTTCTGGACTTGTTTTAGCCTTTTTAAACATTGAGTTAATTCCTTGTGACTTTCACGGATGTGTTCAGATATGTCCAGATACATTTATTTGAAGATACACTATATCCAAGTGAATATACATATACATAACAAATCTCACTCGCCTCTCTCTCATCTTGCTCGCCACTCTCCTATGTATCACAGATACATGCGAATCACATCATATACATACATATACATGTATATAGTGTGTATCTCTAGGATACATAACAAACTCCCGCTCGTTTTCTCCTCATCTTGCTCGCCTCTTATCCTATTTTAGTGTATCTGATAGCAAAAGTATATGCATCTAAATGTAAAGATAACAAAACTCTTAATTTAGAGGTAAAATACATATATTTTGAAATATCTCTAAACAAATGGCATTCAAAACCACCCAACATAATTATATTGACTGAAGTGTGTGATCTATTACAAGAAAAACATGTTCACTCATATATAGCTGATGATTACAATGATATAAATCTAATAATAAGTTCCAAATGATCATTTCTCCAACTTGTACAAAATCAAATGAGCACCATATTGAGGTTGAAGCAATAGTGGATGAGGAGCATGAGCATAAGATGAAGAGAGTTCAAAGGAGTAGTGTTTGAGAATCATGGCTATTGCCATTTTTGCCTCTAACATAGCAAAGTTTTGGCCAATACATATTCTTGGACCCCAACTAAATGGAAAAAACACAAGTTGTCCTTTTGTTGCTTTGGCTACTCCATCACTAAATCTCTCAGGATTGAACTCCATTGCATCATCTCCCCATATTTCAGTATCATGATGCAACAAAATTGTTCCCAATAAAAGTTGCACCCCAGAGGGTAAACACAAATTTCCTAGCTTTGTGTCTTTAGTCACCACTCTATTAATAAAATATGCTGATGGATACAACCTTAAAACCTCATTTAATATCATAGTCACCTATTCAAAAGAAAAATATCATTAGTGATTAGTGTCATCATGACAACATGTAAGAGATACAAATAGTTGAATATTATGTGAAGAGTATCTTTATGCTGACTTAACAAAATAAAATAACACTCTCTGTAATGTGTGATTATAAATGATCTGGTCTAACAATATATAAACGCGAAATTCTTTTTTTATACAAAAATTTGTATACTTACCACTTTTAAGTGATTCAACTTGTCATAGTCAAATTCATCACTTTCAAACACTTGTAGAACCTCTTGTCTAGCTCTTTGTTGCCAAATAGGATATTTGGACAATAAAATCATTGTCCACACAAGTAAAGCTGAAGTAGTCTCTTGGCCAGCAAGATAAAACAATTTACACTCTTCAATGACCTCATCAATACTCATACCAAATTTTTTATGTCCATGTTGTTGGATCTCTTGTAAATTTGATGCTAATAGTATACTCAACAAGTCATCATGTATTTCTCCATCTTCAATCATCTTTATTCTTTTGTTAATGATTCCTAATATTAATGCTCCCACTTCATTAAAGATTTGTTTCATCCTTCTATTTGTTTTTGTTGGTACAAACCTATATGGTTAGTTCAAGAAATTAAGTAATATGAAGTTGAACTCAAGAAATATTTCGATGAAATGATCTTCTATATTCAGTTATAATTTGAACAAAAGAAAATGTCCAGACGAAGAGCGATCTCATGCATTATTAATTTTTTGACCTGCTTTAGAAAAATAACATTTATGATGGACTACAAAATCAGGCGAAAGATTCATAACTTCTTCTTCACTATTTCGAAAGTCCGAGGACTCAATTGGATATGTAACATACAGGATTTCCAATCCTAGCTGGAAAGGGAGTGAAACATGAGATATTCAATTTAAAGTGAATAAATAAAATTTCATACTCGATCTCATAGATACATAATGAACAAGTGCTTTGTAAATGACCTTTTTATTTCTCTTGCAATTTCTAGACCTTTTTAGATGCTATCAGAAAATCTTATGAAAAAATGTTAAAACACGATAAAATATTTTATAATTAGCAAATGTTTGACGACATCATAATAATGTCCTTATATGAGCAAACATTAGCCTTGTGTATAACGTTGTCTAAAAGGATAATTTTCTAAGAGTTATATTTGGGCGACTTTTAAAAATAAAGACAAAATTTAAATAGTAACCTAAAAGGGAACATTTACAAAAATTCAAAGTAGTGATTATTAGATAATTGTACCTCCATCCTGGGATGTATAATGAACGTGCTACTTGTAAAAGTAGTTCCATTTGTTCCTTTTGAAGTTCAAAAATCTTTTTTCCTTCTTCATAACTACTACCAAATGCAGTTCTAGAAATTGCATCACTTGTCAAAGTTTGAAGATATGGCCACACATCTATCTCTGATCCTTCTTTCGAGATGATTTCTTTCCATTTGTTTAACATCTCCGAAGAAGTCAATTGAAACGCGGGAAGCATATGCTGCTTGTTAAGCATTAGACGGTATCAAAATCAATACCAGAAGCAAATTCAAAATCTAAAGTCAATTTATGTATGTACACATAGATAGTGGTGGATCCTGATCACGAAGTTAATGAATTTCAACAATTATTTCAAATACAAATAAAGGGTATAAACAAAAGTGATGGTGTTTTTGTGAACTCATACCTTAATTAAGGACTACAATATCCACCTCGTGACAGAGATGGATTCAGGATTATTTGAACTTTATGCTTTTCTAGATTGTATAATAGCAACTTTAAATGCTAGTCAATGGACTCTAAATTTAGTTTATGTACATATTTACTAATTTTCTTATCACATATACATGATTTGTATCAAAACTATCAAGATTTGTGTAATCGATATCATCGTTGTATCTACACATAGTTAGAGCCGAAAGCAATATATTTGAATCAACCTATGGTAACTCACCCTAGATAATCAAATGATTTTAATTTATGTAACACTTATATTTATAATAGGGATAATGCCCAAGTACCCCCTCAACCTATGTCCGAAATCTCAGAGACACACTTATACTATACTAAGGTCCTATTACCCTCCTGAACTTATTTTATTAATAATTTTTTACCCTTTTTTAGCTTACGTGGTACTATCTTGTGGGTCCAACGATAGTTAACTTTTTTTTTAACTAGTGCCAACGTAAGCTAAAAAGGGGTAGAAAATTACATATAAAATAAGTTCAGGAGGGTAATAGGACCTTAGTATAGTATAAGTGTGTCTCTGGGATTTCGGGCATAGATTGAGGGGGTACTTGGGTATTTTCCCTTTATAATATGATGATATCAATAAGAATATCTCATACAAGTGGTCCAACTCTCATTATAATCCTCATTCCCCTTATATAATGATTTTTTTTTTAAAAAAAAAAAATAAGAACCAAACCTTAAACAAGTCAACAATAACTACAATTTTTTTCTTATTATAAAAATTGAAAGGACATATAGTTTTAAATTAATAAATGAATAAATACCTTTAATTTGTCAAGGTGAAAACCAGGATTGATAATTCTTCTATGTTTGGCCCATTTATCAGCTTCATAGCCAGCAAGCCCATTTGCTGCCAATCTAGTTAATGGATTACCAGGAGGCTTTTGATAAATGTAATTCTTTGATAACACTTCTCTTATAAGTTCAGGATCCACTATAACCACAGCTGGTCTTGGACCATACCAACCAAAACAATTCTTACCTACATACAATTTGAATGAAAGATAGTGAAAGGACTCAGATCGATTTATTCAAGTTTAAGTGTCTACTTGTTCATACCTAAAAAATGTGAATGTCAGCAGGGGCGAACCCGTGTTTGGTCCAGGGGGTTCACCCGAACCGCCTCAACAAAAAAATACATGATATATATAAGGTGAATTTTATGTATTTCTGTAGATGTGTATATATATTTTGAACCCCTTCAATAACAAATAGAAAAATAGATGGCTGAGTGGCAAGACCCCTGAATATTAAGCTGGATGCCCCTAGTATAAATCCCTATGACAACATCTATTTATTTTCCTTTTTAGTTTCAGTGTATTTTAAAAAATAAAAGAAAAATTAGTTCTGTTTTTCAAGCATTTTTTTAGCTTTATTTTTTTTAAAAAAAACGTGCTAAAAGTGTGATTTTAAACCCAAAAATATTCAACGATCCCATTTTGAAAGACTTGTTTACATGTTTATATTTTTATTTTTCGAACCTTATGAACGAAAATTCTGGATCCACCACTGGATGTCAGTTAAGGTCAAATTAAAGAAAACAATTATGTATTATGTCTGTCATAAATCGCATCGTTCTGAATTTATAAACTTCAAATCCAGCGGTAATTAAGGTTGAATACATACCATAATTATTGATGGTTTTGTGGAAGAAAGGCATGACTCTAGGCCAAGTCATGTCATGTGAGAAATCAATAGGCTTTGATAAAGCTTCTTTTCCCATTTTCATCATTTCTTTCACATCTCCAAACAAAAACTTGTAAGAATTTCCCTTGAAACCTTGTTGCCTTAAGCATTTCTCCAACATTTTTGGTTTGAACCAAACCCAATTCAAGATTCTCCATGCCCATATCAATACTAAGATAATTGCACAAGAAAATAATACAAGATTTAAGTTGTAATAATTATTATTATATGGAATCTCCATATTATAGGTTTTTATTTGATAGCTAGCTCTTTGTTCCTACTAGTATTACATATATACACTTGTATAAAACAAGTGGATGATTAAGAAATTACTTGACACAAACAAAATGATAAATTATTTGAAGTTGATGAAGCAATACACATAAGAGTATATAAGAATTATTTGATGCACCATCATATGTATAAATATACAATAACATCACTTAACCATGATTTATTAATGTGTATATATTCACTATATTAAATTATTTAACTATAGTAAATTACATCATTTTATTATAAACATTTGTATCTTCATTTTTTTTTTTAAATTACAATTCAAAGTCAAATGGAAATAGGGTCAAAACTTCCAATACTTGGTTGCTAAGTTTTGGGGGGGGGGGGAGGAAATATGAAAGTCAAAATGGTTAGCATATTAAATGTTATTTCCTCCCATATTCTATAGTGGAAAAATGACTAAATATTAAATTATATCATCTTTTACTTGTGTAACAAGGACTATATTATATATTATATTGTCCGTTTAAAAAGAATGACCTATTTTTTTAAGTTTATTAAAAAAAATTGACTCTTTTCTTTTTTGATAATAATATTTTAATTTTAATTTTTCACGTAACATATTTAAGGTCATTAAATTAAAAGACATTTTGATATATTGACATAAATTTAATTTAGAACTATAATATTAAATTTTTTTCTTTATTTTCTTAAACTTCACGCTGAGTTGAATTACGTATTTTTTTTTTAAAAAAAAAGTAAGTGTATTAAATATAGAGATAATTATAGTGTAGTCTTTTTGGTTGATTTGATTTACAAAATAGTTGATAACTTTATATATTTTGTATAATATGCATTTCATATATAAACTTGATATTTAAATATGTAAGAATTGATTTTCAAATTTTCTTTTATAAGAAATAATAATGTGTAAAACCTTCCTATTATCATTTTGTTTTAAAATATTTTATGTTCTCTAGCTTATACAAAAAAAAAAATATTGATAACCTAAAACTTATCTAAATGACTAACAACTTTCGATAATATTTATTTATTGTATATAATTCAACAAATTCTTAATTTGATAATATTATAGCATGATGCTTACGATATGATGATGTATGTGATTTCAGAATGATTTTCAATCTTGTTCTTGCTTTTTATTTTTGCATTTTTTTCGTTTTGTTGATTTGAGTTAGACTGGCTCTGATGAAAATATATAAGTGTCATCACGTTCATTTTTAGATGATAATATAACAAGAGTTTACACCTGGTAAATACAAATTTCCTAATTTTGTTTTTGTTTGTACCATTTGATTTAACAAGAACTTGTAAGAATTCCATTGAAACATTGTCGTCTTAGTTGTTTCTCCAAAAAAATTTTATTTGAAGTAATGATGTATTTAGCGTATCTAACTTAAAATATGAAATAAAATTATAAGTTAGTGAAAATATATGCAATTATTTGAAATTATAGATAAAATTAAGGGTAACTTTCACATATAGCAAACAAAAAATTTATATTTGTATGCTATAGCAAAGTTTGCATAATTGCGCTCCATAACAAACATATAGTTGTATAATTCGCTATACATATACAACTGTGGGCTATTTCGCTGCAATTGTGTAATTCACTAGCCTATTTCACTGCAATCGTATAATGTGTAATTGTGTAATTCGGTAGCCTATTTCGTTGCAATATGTGTATAAAATTTGCTTTGCATACAATTGAATCGAAGTACATTGTATATTATAAGTGTATAGGAAGAAGATATATGTTTTTCTCTCGCTTTATACAAAAACAGAAACACAATTTATACACTTTTGTTGTATAAAGCGAGAGAAAATTGTATTTCACTGCAATAGTATAATTTGCTGGCCTTTTCCGCTGCAATATTTGTATAAAATTTGCATTTGTATACAATTGAATTGAAGTAAAATATTTGTAAATTGTAGAATTAAGTGTATAGCACGAAGATATATGTTTTTGCATATGTATATACAATTTTCTCTCGCTTTATACAAAACAGAAACACAATTTATACACTTCTGTTGCATAAAGCGAGAGAGGCTAGCAGAGGGAGAGTGGCGAGCGAGAATGAGAGAGTGGCGAGCGAGAGTTTTGGGAGAGAGGTGACGGGCAAACGTTGACAAACGTTTGCTATGGGGCACAATTAAATCAAACAATAGTTACTCCATTTATTTTAGGTTATTCGTTTGCTATTATATACAATTATCCCTAAAATTAATATATATGATCTGAATGTATGTTATAATTAAGATAATTTAACTTTTTAATTATTTTTAATTTGGCCCACGGACAGGCCCAACTCACATTGCTTAAGCCCCACTAGCCAATGTACTTACTCGAGCCAATCTAAAAAGTATTATTCTTTCAATAGGCTCCAAAAATTATAGTCCGACTCAATCTTATCAAATCACGAGTTAAACTTGTCCCCTTTCAATTGGCCTAGTCAATATTGTCGGCTCTTGATATATGAATAATATCAAACAAAAAAAATAAACTCAAAAAATTAGAATATTTTAGATGTGCTCTTGATCCTTCAATCAACTCATCAATAAAACAAATAACAACCCAATACCATGTAAACAAGTAAACAACAATCAAAATATTGGTGTATATTAACTATAGTAAACTAATGTGGCTACAAGAAACTCCAATAACCAAAACATACTCAGTGCAATCTCACAAATGGATTCGAAGAAAAGAGTATACGCAGACCTTATCCGTATTCTATAGCTTGTGTAGAATTAGTTGAGCACCATATTGAGGTAGAAGAGTAAACACTGAATAAGGAACATGAGCATAAGATGGAGAAACTTCAAAAGCAAATTGTTGTAGAATCATAGCAAGTGCCATTTTAGCCTCTAACATAGCAAAGTTTTGTCCAATGCAATTTCTAGGTCCCCAACTAAATGGAAAATATGCAAATTTCCCTTTTGTTGCTCTATTGACTCCTTCACTAAACCTCTCTGGATTGAATTCTTCAACATCTTCACCCCATATTTCTTGGTCATGATGCAACAATATTGTTGGCAAGAGGAGTTGCACTCCACTCGGTATCGACAAATTGCCTAATTTAGTTTCTTTGTGTACCTCTCTACCCATCAAAAAATTTGGTGGATACAATCTCAAAACTTCTTGGATAATCATAGTTACCTGTGTTTAAGTAGAAAAAACGACGGTCTTAGAAAGAGTTTAACTTCTATGCACAGACAATGAAAAAGAGGTTTACACTATCAAGCTAGCTAAGTCACTAAAAGTAGTGATATCGACAAGTTTAGTCCATGAAAGTCGAAGAGTAGAAAAGTATGATATGCAAAAACGATGGAGATAGATCATGAACTTACAACTTTGAGTTGATTCAACTTATCATAATCAGGTACGTTGTTGCCAAAGACTTGCGAAACCTCTTCTCTAGCACGAGCTTGCCAATCGGAGTGTTTGCTCAATAAAATCATTGACCATACAAGTAAAGCTGAAGTTGTCTCTTGTCCAGCAAGATAGAACAGTTTACACTCTTCAATTACCTCATCAATACTCATTCCAAACTTCTTATTTCCATGCTCTTGGATTTCTTTCATGTTTGATTCCAATAATATGCCTAATAAGTCGTCACTATTAGACGTATCCCCTGCTTCAATTTTATTCATTCTCTTATTGATTATTCTCAATACTAGTGAACGTACTTCCTGATGTATACGGTTCATCCTTCTCTTTTCTTTGGTCGGTAAAAACCTACGATTCATTAAAAATATTTTTCATAATGCTTTGATCTATTGAACAATACGTGGCGGTTAGGATATGAAGGTAACTTACCTAATGTAACTTGCCTCTGTCTCTTTTAAGATAATTTTGGCTAGTTCTTGTTGAAGTTCATGTATCTGTCTACCTTCTTCGTAGCTACTTCCAAAAGCAGTTCTTGAAATGGCATCACTTGTCAATGTTTGAAGATATGGCCACACATCTACCTCTGATCCTTCCGTCGAGACAATTTTCTCCCATTTGCTCAACATCTCACAAGTTGTCAAATGAAATGATGGTACCATATGCTGCATATTTTACATTGCGTTAGAAACAAACTAACAATCAATATATACTAGAGTTGGCGTACTTATATATGCTGACAGTATAAAGAACTTTTACACTATCGATGAACATGTTGCATGTCTAACTTTCATAGATTACTAATCTCACTTGTTATGAATATTTATCTTTTAGAAGATTCGATAGTGTAAAATATCGAAGCTAACATCAAACCTTCAACTTGTCAAGGTGAAAAGCAGGATTGATGATTCTTCTATGTTTAGCCCATTTATCTCCTTCATAGCTCAAGATTCCTTCGGCTAACAGTTTCGTGAGTGCAGGGGGAGGTTTCTGGAAAATATTGCTCTTCGACAAGATCTCCCGTATATGTTCAGGGTCCATGATGAGCATTGCTGGATTTGGTCCCAACCATATGAAAGAATTCTTACCTACAAGTAAGTAAAATCTCATTAGTGTGAAAAAACATTGAAGCGTTGTTGAATTCTCTTAACATAAAGGAAAGTTTAGCGTAACAACAAAGTTGGATTTCGGCTATCACCTATGTTTACTTGTGCTTCAATTATCACATTATTGGATGTTCTTTATAACATCGAAGCTTTGTTGAATTCTCTTAACATAAGGAAAGTTTAGCGTAACAACAAAGTTGGATTTCGGTTACCACCTAATTTACTTGTGCTTCAATTATCACATTATTGTCATTAATGTTCTTTCCTCTCTATGTTCTGTATTGTATTTAGAGAATATGTTTTCGTCAATCAGTCTAAAATAACTATCTCTATTCTGTCCCGTTCAATACATAATGCACTAGCACAAGAAGTTGACACTAGATACCACTCCCATAATCAAGAATAAATTATACTTAAATGGGTCTAGTTTGACTTGACACGGAGTTTAAGAAAATAAAAAAGACTTTTGATCATGTGGTCCTAAATTAAAATTATGTCAAATGTACAAAATCGTCTTTTAATCTTGTGGCCTTAAACATGCCACGTGGAAAGTTACAAAAAAAAAGGTCATTTCTTTTAAAATTAAGGTAGTATATGATCTTGTGCTACAATCGTACCGATAACATGTCCAATTTCTATCTTAGATTGTGAACAAAAACCTTTCTTACTTATAATATAAGATCCAATGATTTAATGTTCTGTATATAAGCTAAAACTCCATAAACTAAATCATCTACTATCAGTGGCAGAGCTAAGATTTTTAATAAGAAAGTTCAAAACCTGAAGAAGTGAACACATGAACTAATCGAAGAGGGGTTCAACATCTACTGTATGCATACACAAAAAGTAATTCAACCATGTATTAATAGTAATATTTTCTGTCGAAGGAGGTTCGGATGAACCCCTAGCAATATGTTGGCTCCGCCCCCTGTATACTATATATGTAAACCAACACATAAAACAGATAGATGATGTATTAAAACTGAACAAATATTCATTATCTAACAATACTCACCATAATCAATGATTGTTTTGTGGATAAATGGCATGAGTCTTTTGACAATATCATGTGAGAATTTGATAGGCTTGGACTTGGCTTCTTCATCCATCTTCACAACTTCATTCATGTCTCCAACTAAAAACTTGTAAGAATTTCCCCTGAAACCCAACTCTCTCAGGCATTTCTCCAAACACCTTGGCTGCAACCACAACCAATTCATAAGTCTCCAACTCCATCTAAAAATTATAACTAAAATTATACAAATTGCAACTAAAATGTATTGCATCTTTGATTCTATGTATATATCTATTTTATTTTTTTTTGATGATAGAAATGGGCTTGCAAAATCTTGGATTTATATGCATGATAATAAAAATAGAAAATGTTTCTTTTTTGACTAATAATAATCTTAGCTTGATTGCAAAGAAAATCAGACTTTTCATGTTTATGTTATGTTTTTATGTATCAAGGTTGAAAAAGTAAAATAAATATCTCGTTTTCTTTAAGGTAATTCAAGTTTAAATATGATATTCAATGGTGATACTGTGATATTATTTACTTCTTGAATATATCATATATTTTTAGATATTCATAAATTTCAATATCTCAAATATACTATAAATTGTTTAGTATTGACAAAGGTCATAAAGATGTTAAATATTATCCTTCTCAATGAAAATTTGTATATTCATAAACTCTTGTGATATTAATAAAAAAGATATATCAAAATAAAATAATTAAGATATAAACTAATTTATCCATATTGTTATCAATAAAATTATTCACCTGTTCAAGTTTAAATTTTAACTATGCTGGTTGAATATTTATCTTTTTTTTTTCATTTGGTATTCAGAGCGCGCATGACAGAGCTCAATCAGGGGTGACATTCCTAACATGATTTTCTTTATATTCAAAGCTCAAAATCGAGACTTCTAATTATGCGTGAAGTACCTTCATCAGTGCACGACAACCAATATTAGTGAATATTTATGTGTAACCAAGTAGGATGATGAGAATAATTAAGAGAAATCAAGGAAAGCTGAAAAAACAAGGTAAAAAAAGAAGAGAAGTCTAAGATGATATTGTTTGCTAAGAAAATCAGACTTTTCCTCTTAGTGTTCTATTTTTAAATGTCTAATTAAAGTAAACCAATCAAAGAATCACAGATCTCAGTTATATTATTAATATAAAAATAAGTAGTAATGAAACTTCATAATTTTTTTAAGTACTTTTTTTGTCATATTAAAATAGTTACAAAAAATTTGATCTATTATAGTAATAAAGTCATCTTATGTCATAACCTAAACTTTGGAATTGATATGTATCGTGTATTTAAATTTATAGTTTATTTTATTTTATTAAATCATGTAATAGTGCATTTTACATTGACTTAGTGTAAATATCCAATGCGAATAATTTTTTCCATAACTATTCATCAAATATACTTAAAGCGTAGAAGTCTCAAATGATGAGATTAATATTAAAACTGTTGGACAACTATAACTATTCATGGTAGATTTGTTATAAGTTCTCATAAGCAATTTTGTGCATTGTACGTAGAATCACTGATATACTTCAACTATATATTTTAAACACCACCAAATTTGTCATAACTGAAAGAGAAAATACATAAAAAAAAAACCTCTGGACTTGGTCGGATAACTTACTTTAGTACTTAAATTACACGGTGTTTAAATATCCCATTAATATCTTTGAAATGATTTTTTTTCCATCATCCGCCGCATAATAGCACGATGTCATTAATTTTATTTTTTTTACTTATTCACTATTTTTTATTACACACTTTTTAAAATTAATTATATCAATTGATTAATTTATAAATGCATACCTGATACCCCCACCCTCACACCCCCTTGTTGTTCATCATTATTCCAACCTTCAATACTTTCTTTTTTGTTTCTTCTTCTTCTTCGCTATTCAATAATTTTTTTAAGTCACTTTAACGAAATAAATATACATTATCTTCTTCGAACCCTTCCAACGAATTTACCCTCTTGGAGAATGGATATTTTTGAAAGCCAATTTTTTCTTAACAACTCAAATAAATATTAAATTAAACAAATTTGTTGAAACTGTTAAATTTTAAGGTTACTGTATCTATTTGTGAATTTTTAGCATAAATTTTATACATGTTCATATTTTTCCTATTTTTTATTAATAAATTACTCATTTTCGGGATTTACCGAAAAAATAAAATTAAAAAATATAGAAATTGTTGAATTTAAGGTTAGTATATTTATTTTTGAATTTTTTGCGTTCATTTTATATTTTTTTTCTTCATATTTTTCATATTTTTAAATTAATCAATTACGCATTTTCGAGGTTTATCCAAAAAATAAAAAATAAAGTGTTCAAATTGTTGAATTTAAGTTTACTATATTTATTTGTGAATTTTCGGCGTTAAATTTACTTTTTTTTTGATATTTTTCCTACTTTTTATTAATCAATTACTCATTTTCGAAATTTATCGAAAAAATAAAAATTAAATAAAATTGTTGAAATGGGTCGGATAGTTTATTTAAAAGGGCACTGATTTATGGGTCGGATTAGGTGTTTTATGTGTCCTAATTTTTTAGGGGCATAATTGATCTCTTTCCATTTTCATATAAATGTCATGTGATAAGGTCAAAATGACATGACAATTCCATGCTTCATTTAAATAAATAAAAAATGAGTTGGATATGTCCAATATACCCACTAACGCCCATAGCCAAAATTTAGACGGCGAAGGTATGAGTAAGCCAAACTTTAAACGAGAAACACATCTAGACCTTTTCGAATAGCTTAGGATTATATTTGACCAAATCCAAAAAAAAATATCTTTGGTTTGTTTTATTGTTGAGAGTGAATCACAATTGCATAGTACATTTTTGTTTGTTTTCATTGAATGTATGGTTTCCTTTTCTAGAAAATATTATTTTAATTATGCTCATAATTTTTGTTGAGAAGGAATTTATATTCCTCTCATAAATAGTTGAATGTGAGGACCTATTTTTTTACAAATAAAAATTACAAGTATCATATATCATATGACATAATTAATTATGGCATTGAAAGTTATGTTGATTTTGTTCTTTGCATTGCTTTTGTTAACAAATAAGAATAATGGTGAGAAGATCAAAGGAGATCATGATTATGTCATATATTTAAAGTTTTAATTTTATGTATAGACAGACTAACAATTCAATAAAAATTAAATATTTATGTTTAGACCTAATTAATTTTGCAGACTCATGAGAAGTTTGGAAGTTGCAATGAGAATCATTGTGTTGATGGCAATAATATTGCTCTGCCAAAAGCTTAAAATAAACGGTGCGGAGATAAAAGAACATCATAAAGTCCGATATTGATCAAAAATTTCGACCATTATATTATATTATGTAACAAAAAATAATAATACAATTTATTTAAAAATTATAATCATAATTATTACAATACAATACAATACGACAAATTACAAAACGATAGGCAACAAGAATCTTCTCCCATGCTTTAATATATATAGGAATATTAAAGCACACAATTTTTTATTTAATAAAAAATACAAATACATAAAAAGAAAATTACAACCACAAATGTATTTAATTAGCATAGTGTCATAGATGACACAAATATACTTTGTGGTCATAATTTCTTAATGCCTTTTCTTAAGCTTTTGGTAGAGCAATATTAATATTGTCATTAATACAACAATTCTCATTGCAACTTGTCATGCAACTTCCAAACTTGTCATGATCTACAAAATTAACATAAAATAATAAAAAGAATTAGTACTTATCATGTATGAGAAAGAAAATAAAGCTTAAAATATTTAACAGAAGTCAATTAAGTTAACTGCGTAAAATATGTCTTTTCATTAATCTATACACATTTATTTTAATAAAAATCGTGAAATTCAAGACATTTTATACTTAAATAGAGCTGTCAATATCAATCCATCCGGGTTAATCCATATAGGCTTTGAAATTTTACGGGTTTGGGTCGGGCAAGCCCATTTTTCATAAAATATATTTTTTTATATATTTTTTAAAATTAAATTATAATTTATAATATTATTATAAATATCGGCAAGATAATATTATATGGTGTTAGTGTTACTACTTGTTAATCAAATATATCATTATAATATATATTAAGTTTGATTTCAAGTAAAAGCATAAATAACAAAACAAAATATAAACCTAGTTGTTTTCCAATGATCATAACCGAACACAAAAACTATGACAATGTTCCATATGTATGGAATTTTTATTTTACGTAGTACATATTTTATAAACATTATTTGTATTTAAATTATAATATTTCAAACTTTAAACTGATTTTTCAGTTTAAACTCTTGTTATTTTTAATACTCTATTTTATTTTTTATTTTTTAATTAATTTTTATTTGGCCCACGTCCCGACACTATTCATATTTCTCAATACCCACAAATCGGCAGATTTATTCAGGTCGAGCTATAAAAAATCATTTTCTTAAATTGGCTCAAAAAATCGCAACACAGTCCTATCAAATTTCAGGTTAGACCAGGTTGGCCCAACGGGCCTATTCTATATTGACGGCTCTAACTATAAATTGATGCGTATAATTAAAGATTAATATGTCATAATAATTAAGCCCGCTAAGATCCTATACAACCTCTATTTAGGATGCATGTTCAAACTAATCGTTCAAATTGTAACTTTTTTGCATATCAGTACGAAGAAAGAAAAAATAAAGAGAATAAGTGGTACCATAGTTGACAAGAAACTTGAAGCAATGACCAAGAGAACATCCAACATTACAAACATGATTTGTAGGCTCAGTATCAACTGATTCTTCATATGTGATTTTTGTTATAGAGCACTTGGCAAGGCACAAAGTTAGGCATATAGGCTTTGTATTGCACTTTACTACACACAATGCTGCACATATTGGGTTAATATTTTGGACTGCCATAGCATTATGTTCTATCAACACAAACATAGCAAGGAACAACAACAACATAACTTTAAATGCCATTGAAAGATTAGCTAGGGTTAACAAAGAGTTATATTATATGAAAATAAGGTGAACTATTTATAGAGGAAATTAAACATATAGATTGTATCTCTAGATCTAGATAACTAGTTTTGCAACTTAATGTGATGGAGGATTTCTATTCAATTATCATTTGGTGTGAGCGCTATAAATAAATATTGATGGTATAAAAAATTTATTTTCTTGTTCGATTGTCATGTTTGAAATAACTTATCCTATATACGTGGCGGAATAAATTATCTGGAATAACTTATTTCGAATCGAACAATTTAGTGGAGTTATCCTTGTATGAGGGGTGTCCTTTGATGAGACTTTTAGTTAGGGTGTAAAATAAAAGATAATTATTAGTGAGACTTGTTAGGACCGAAAAATAAGCAGGTGTAAATACGGAAAATAGCAAAGCAAACCTCAAAAGACCACGAGTAAGAAGACAACGAGAAATATACCAAAAGACACAAAGATTTAACGTGGTTCGGTCAATCGTCCTACGTCCATAAAGGAGATGAGCAATCCACTATAAATATGAGAGTACAAAATATAGAGGGAAACAACCTCAACCAATTCACTCGAAATACATGAGAGGTTCACACAAGTGATAACGTATCCAACTTGTGATCCATAAATTCTCCCCCTAACCAAACTCTCAAAGCTCTTAAGACTACATTACAAATGCTGATTAAGTTAGAAGGAGCATGCCTCTATTTATAGAGTCCTAAACCTTTTCCTACCAGAAAAAAGGATTAGTCAATCCAAAACCTTTTCCTAAAAGGAAAACCTATTTTTGGTAAGAAATCAGGGCAAATAAAACCCAACAAGACTTTGTGTGATGAATGATTTATGTTCAATTTGTGGAGAAGTCATCCTTCTATGAGGGGTGTCCTATGAAAATTAAACAATTTTAGCTATCTCTATGTGTAAAAATTATAACCATAATAACTTGGTTTCAATGGACGATCTGATCTCCACGTGTTGGATCTTTACGTACACTCAATCTCACATGTTAATGTATGTGCACTTTGTGCAGGAGCGGCTCAAGCATTTTAATGGCCTAAAGCAAAAATCAAACGAGGCCTTAAACTTGAATAACTTTTATACAATTGATTTTATTCTAGTTTTCAATTGATAATATAACCATTCATATTTTAAATTATTTTTCATGAGATATAGTACGCCAAATATGTCAAATTTCTTTTAATAATTCTTTCATTTTTCATGAAAGTTTATTTTTTTCTACAAATAGTATTCAATATTAATTAAAAAAATAATAACTTATAACCTATTTTTATTGAAAATGAGGTCTCTTAAATTTGGGGGCCTTAGGCACATGTTTTTTTTAACACTGTTGAGCCACCCCTGACAATGTGATATCGATAAACAAGCAACATTTCATTAAATCAAATGTCGCTATAACATAATCAATTCAATTATCACAAATATACGAGTTCAATAAAAAAACACAACCACACAAAAGAACCAAGCCACTAAATAAATCGATTAATACCCACATACTTTGACGTTCTCGAATTACAATCTATTCTATTATAATAATAAATTTTTCTTTTAATAACACCGATACACGTATCAACGTTCGTCACACTATTGGTACAAGACCCTCATCTTTCACCCTTACCTATCATCTATTAATTAATTTTTTTGTGGTTGTAATTTTCTAAATTATATAGTCTTATGTGTTTAAGTTGAATAAAACTCTATTGTTCCTGTTAGTTACTTTTTGGTAGATTTTTTTAGAATTAATTTATCTTCCCTAGTTAATGAACATATTAATCACAAACGATACATCTATATATTCTAACTATTTTTTCAGTATATGTATCAAATCTTTTGTATTTTATTTAGTCCAAAGGCCCAAAGACCCAGTTTTATTTTTTAAAAAAATCTTTATTAAGGATGTTTTACGAAAACTTACACAAATATACTATAAAACCATTTATAGTAATAATATTTTTTTTTCATTCTATCACCTTTAATGCAATTATAATACACTTTTAATTCATATTATAAAAAATAATTTATTATTCACATATAATACAAGTTTTATTAATGGATAATACATTTATCTCACGTTTTAATACACTTATAATTCAATATGTCAACTTCTTACCAAACATACATAATATATTTTATAAAATAGTTATAATACATATTATTACATAGTTAATTCACTTTTAATACATATTACAGATTTAACATAATATAATATAGATAGATAAATATATAAAATAATAACTATAATAATAATAATACAATATATATATATATATTCGTGTATTTTGAAAAAATATATTAAATGAAGAAAATATATACACTACAACACAATCTATTTTTAGCTATAACATTTAAGCTACAAATATAAAAATCATGGCTATTATTTAGCTACACTATTTAAGCTACAAACTAAAAATCGTGGCTATTACTTAATAATAGCTACAAAAATTTTAATTTTATAGCTATTCATAAATTCGTAAATTTTCTTAGGCACAAAAATTAATTAGGCAAAGTAAATTGTATTTTTGTTATAATTGCTAATAATTGTGGCAATAATTATATGAATAGCTACAACTTTATTGCTATAATACAATTTTGTAGCTGGTTGAAAATTTTTGTCACACAATAAAAGTTATTATAGCAATAACCAGAATAAATTATATGAAACATGATGATTTAGCTAAATAAATACTTTTGCTTCAAGTTTTATAAATTTGTAGCAATAGTTAAATGATATAGCACAAGTATTTTTCTATAATAAAATATTGTAGCTAATTATTGATTTTTACAACGAGTTGAAAATTATCGTGACAATAATAATCTTTTAATCATAATAAATTATTTAAAATAAATTATTATAGCTAAATAAATATTTTTACTTCAAGTTATAAAACTGCGGCAAAAGCTGTATATAGTTATTTGTCAAGACGAAATAATATAGCCACAAATAGATCATTGTGTTAAAATTTTGTAGATTATAACTATTTTTACCGCGGGTTAAAATGTGTTGTAGCGATGATAATTTTTAGAAACGTTAAAATATACCTTTCTTGCATCTAAATATAAATAGAGGTATTAATCGTTCAATTCAGTTTTACACGGTCTTATTTGTAAGTTTCAAATATAGTTCAAATAATTAGATAATTATATTTAATTGATTTTAGTTAATTAGTCATATCAAATTTAAACAAAACTTCACGAAATCTCACCTTAAAATTCTTCATGATCAAGTGCTTCCATAATAATTCTTTGTCTTAAACATGTTCTATAGAAATAATACATTTATTGACCTATAGTAATTAGAGGCGTTAATCATTTCATACAATTTAATTTTATATATGATTAATTTGAATCAATAAGTGATTATATTAACTTTGATGAATTAATTATAGAATGTTTAAAGAAAACTTTAACAAGTCTACTCAGACTTCATCCCGATTAAGTGATTTTAGAATTGTTAGTGTAAATAAAGTTATTAATTATTTGATTTGATTTTATGGATATAATTTCAATAAATAGGTAATTATATTTTTAAAAAATTGATTCATTAGTTTATCAAACTTGGGAAAAGGAATCTCACTAACGATGTGTTTGGTATGAAAGGAAAATGTTTTTCTGGAAAACAAATAGATTATTAACTTATTTTCTCATGTAAAGTTGTGGGTAGAAGATATTTTTCAGAAAATATTTTTCAATGTTTAGTTTATGAATGAAAAATATTTTTGAGAAAATATCTTTTATTTTTACTAGAGAGTAGAAAATAATTTAATTACATCATTCAGCTCAGCTCAATTTTAAATAAATAGGTCATTATATTTCAATTACAAGTATTCTGATAATTTTAAATTTTGTCAAACTCAACCCATCTTTTACAATGCCTTTTGCTATACTATTAGTTTTAATTAATTAATAGTTTGTATAAATATAATTATAACTAGTTGATAATTATAACTAGTTGAACTAAGAATTCAATAATTGAATATAGTTAATATTTAAGTGTATGTATATCATTATTATATCTAATACAGCCTTGTAGCAATGAATTTTTATAGTTGTGTGGCTAAAAGTATATATAGATTTTTATATATAATATAGCCACGTATGAATTTTTATAGCAAATAAAATAAGTTTTTTTTTTGCCACAACAGTATATATTTAGCTACTACACTAAAGATGCTACAAAATTTATTTTTTTGTGGCAAAAATTTTAAACTATATTTTTTGTAGCAATTTTTCTATATCTTTTTATGAATGCTGAGGAGACAAAATATATATCAAAAAAAATAAACGCACAAAATCAGCAACGGTGGTGCTAAGGTTAGGTGTTTTGGGATTCTAAATTAGTTTTATTTGAAGGGTTCACATCTCAATATATACATATAATTATTTAATTTTCTAATATAAATATAAGATCTACGAAAAAATTAAAGACTTTTGTCCAAATCTATGAACCCCTCCTAACTCCGTCTACGAAAAGAAGTATAGTACAATAAGGAGTAATATGAAAAATAGGTAGAATTTTGTCCCTTTTTTTAGTGAGATTTTGGGGTAGCATTTAATTTTGGGAAAATTATGGAACTAGGCCAAAATATCATCATATTTATATTAAAAAAAAAACAAATATGATTCTTTTTAATTTTTTTTTTTTACAGAAAATCACTATATGTTATTTTTATAGCAAATTCTTTCATATGTAAATTTATGCCATTTTATCTTTAAGAACTTTACTCTATAACAACATTAATTGGTTAAGTATTTATTTAATTAGGTACTAAAGAATAATTTTAGACATAAAAATCCTAAATAGTCATATAAAATAACACCAAAGATAAAAAAAAAACATTTAACATAATTAATTTCAACGATAGCTAGCTTACATAAAAAGAGTCACACACATAAAATCCAAATGATAAATTAGCAATGAAAATAGAAAATACTGAAAAACAATGAAATTCTCATTCATATTCATATGATATATGATATGATATATGATGATCGCTTAGATCTTCTTGAATTTCACAAGACAACTTCTCGGAGGTTCGATTTTGCTCTCTGAATTAACTCGCTCCACCCTACATCATATAATAATAGTTATTAAATCTCTGAATCAGTTTTCTATGTAACATGGTTAAGATTAAAAGATAAATTAACGGTGTACACATGTTTTTTTTTAAAAAAAATAAAAAAATTATCCAACCGAATATGGAAAAATATAAGAAACATTTTCCCAATACTTTCCTCCATATCTTACATATCATCATTTGTTTAAGATCAGAAGATTCAAAGATATTCTTTACTTTTTTAAATTTCGTATCAAATTAAAATCAGATAAATAAATTAAAACGAGCTAAATACCTGTAGTTAAGAAGAAAGTAATGAAGAATTACAGAAACCTCAAGCCTAGCCAAATTGGCTCCTGGACACATTTTAGGGCCAACTCCAAAGGGAAGAAAAGAGGCTGGCTTGGTTTTAAGATCCTATATAATTTTATCACATGATAATTAGTTTACGATCTCGTATAATTAATACATATATAAGTTATGCAAGATAAAAAAATTACGTATTTGAATAACTAAATCTTACATAATATTACTAATAAATACATAATTTTAATCAGCAATTAAATGACTCGTAAATAGAGATACGCCACTTACATCCCATCTAGAAGGATTAAATTCCTTAGGTCTCACGTAAGTATGAGGGTCGAAATGATAATTCCATGAAAATGACAAAAACTTCCACCCCTTAGGTATGGTATACCCTAAAAAAAAATTATAATAAACTTTTTTAATACGTATATAAAATTAAGTAACTATCTGAGAAATTAAATCGATATTAAAGAGATACTAACCATTTATGTTAATAGTAGTTCTTGCCTCTCTAAAGAATATTGTTTTAGCAGTAGCAATACGCAATGATTCATTAATTACCTTTCAAATTTGAAAAAAAAATAATTAGTATATAAAAATATTTAATTCATAATAGTCCAAAAATAAAATTAAAAAAAAATAACTCAAATCTTACATTACTAAGATACTTCATCTCTTTAATTTCATGGAAATTAAGGCCTTCATTTGGTGATGATCTTCTCTTTACAATATCCTCTTGTTCCTCCTACAAATACATGATTTGTCGTCAACTGATATTCATGTCCTTCAAAATAGGATATTAAGTAAGTAGAAATATACATCGTCCTACGTGACATAATATGTCTCCATGACATAGAATGGTCACATAGGATGCCAGATAGGATATGAATATTAAGTTAAGAAGCACGTTTATGTATTAAACGTAGTGATGATTTGTCATCAACTGATACTCATGTCCTTCAAATAGGATATTAAATAAGTAGAAATATACACCATCCTACGTGACATAATATGTCTACGGGACATAGAATGGTCACGTAGGATACCAGATAGGATGTGAATGTCTATATATTTGTAAGACGCAAATATAATCTGAAGTTAAGTTAAGAAGCACGTTTACGTAATATACGTAGCGATGATGAGTAGGTATATATACTTTAGCTTTGTCCAAGAAGTGAGGATGTTTTTCCAAATACATAATTGCAGTTGATGCTACCAAAGCAACAGATTCAAAACCAGCAAATGTATATGAAACAAGCATTGCAATGATCTTCTCATCATTGAATCCTTCATTATCATCATCTTGAGTGTTTAACATCATATCTAGTAAAATATTGGACTTTTCTCTTGTTTTGTTTTTCCCAATCATCACTTTTCTTTCATCTAAAATATATTTATATATCTTAGACATTGCTTTCCTAGCCTGAAAATTAAAAAAAATAAAAAGTTAATTCAAAGCAAACAAACAAATATTAAACATCTAAATACGTGATAAAGTCATATCACGATTAAACATCTGAACATATGATAAAGATTTTATCAGACATTTTTCGGTTCAAATTTTGAAAAAATCGTGAAATCTCAATCATGTTTCAATTGATGACGATTAAATAAATAAAATGACATATTTCATTATGTGACAATATACTTTGAGAAAAGTTTTTAAAAAGAAGTTTTCTTTTAGACACTTTACCATGTTTTCAAGTTTCGAACCAGACCAGAACTTAATTCGAGTGTCTAGATGAGATTTACCGACGAATTAAATTTACCTTTAATCCCCTATTGTAAGCTGATCCTGGTATATTAAATGGCAAACCATGACAACCATGAATAAGATAAATAGTCTCTTCAAATAGAATATTCACCATATCATTATCAACTCCATCACCTATAAGAATTCTCATTAACACTTCAAATGCTGGCCTTTTAATTGCTAAAATTACATCAATTGGTTCTTCCATTTCAACCAATTTCACAAATGATTTTTTCACAATTTCATTTGCAAAATCAAAGTAATTTGATAATAATGATATGTCACTTTTTATCAATGTTGTGATTCTATGTAGAGTCTTGCTTTCTTCTCTTGTAAATCCACCAACTTGAGCTTGTCCTAATATTTTTAATATATAGTTTGGCATACCTCTATCATAATTTTCATCATCCATAAATATTTTCCTACTTATTTCAACTTTTGTCATGATAATACTCGGTTTTCCAAACAGGAATGCCTTGTACATTCCACCCTCCCCAAACCTAAAAAAAACATTCGTCAGTACACGTTTAAAATACTCTCTATATATATATATA